CAGAACAAACTCCCAGAAACCTGCAGGTCCGCTGCAACTCTGACTACTTTTAAATCCAGGCTGAAGACTTTCCTTTTTGCCGCTGCTTTTAATTGAACTATTCACATCTTAAACTGCACTGTAACTTTTACTCCATGTATTTTTTCTTGTAATGTTTATTTTATTATCTTTGCTTTTTAATGACTGATCTTAAATGCCATTTTCCTCATGTCTTTCATTTTTTGTAAAGCACTTTGAATTACCTTGTGTTGAAAGGTGCTATATAAATAAACTTCCCTTGCCTTGCCTTACCATCACTGCATTATGTGTATGGATTGTTAGGAGGAAACAGTAGATGTGGTGTCAGGGGTGTTGAACTGAGCGTGACGACCTGCACATCGACAGTGAAAGAGGTGTCACTCAGTGGCTGCTGGGTAATGGATGTCATGCTAGAGACTGTATGGATTCTCAGAAATGAATGGGCCGAGGGGTGTAACCATGGAGAGTGCCTGACATATAACGACTCCTATTTTACCGCACTGGCTCAAGGTCTTATCGTTTCTGTCTGTTCTTTCACACATCCTCATTTCATGTTTGCCTCTGCCTCATCTTTTCTCCTCCATCTCTGCCTCTCTTCAACTGTCCACTGACGGCGTGTTGACTTAACAAATAGCCATGTTACATCTTGTGCGAGCCGCTCAGTTTAATGAAGACTGCAGACAGGGCTTGTAGTATAGCCTCTGATCAGCCTCTCAGAGATGAATGGTGGTTCTCCTACACATCCAGTTAGGAGAGTGACGGAGTAAAAGAGAAGGAAAGAAGCTGCGTCTAATCAATTCTGTTACAGAAAGTTGTCACGTGAACTGACTGCGACCACGACCCTTCGCTGCGCTACCAAATGATCCACCCTTGTTTTCCTTTCCTGCACTATCAAACAGAAGCCTCTCCTCTCGTCTAATTTTAACTCGGAGCAACAGCCAACAGCAGCTTGATGAGGTACAGCAGATGGACAAGATATGCTCTAATCCCCATGCGGCCATATTGATTTAGATTCAGCTCTAGCAGGGCGAGCAGTTGAAGCTGCAGCAACAACAAAAAACTTACCAAAGACATTTAAGAAGTAAAATAAGAAACACAAAAGGGAGAAGTGAGCGCATCAGTATTTCCCTGCGCCGCTTAGATAAACTCCTCCTGGGGCAGTTAGGGGCCATGATGCAGCAAAATACAAAATACCTTGAGCTCTTTAAATGTCAGCCTCTGCGCTGTTCTTTCATTGAACACCTTACAAATGGGAATGGATTGCCTCTACTTCTGCTGATTCCACCTTTATTGTGCTCCGCATGTAAGCCTACTATCCAATACAAGAGGAAGGCACCGAGGGAGTAAAAGCCATTTTGAAGAATGTTCCGGCTGCACAGTGTACGTGCAGAGTGATGAAGCACGCCCGACTCTGCACAATCACTCTTTAATGCTTAAACACACATGCTCACCTAATATAAACCAGAGTATTGATCAACAGCTTTAGCTTGTCCTGCATGGTAACTGATGGCCGAGTGGGTTGGGAGCTCAACACACAACTGCATACAGACACATGAATATACACAGTAGATCAATGTGATGGAGTCCATTAGATTGTCTGGTTAGTAAAGGAGAAAATAGGAGTTGAGAAATGCCTTTTGAAACTCCTCGCAGAATGCTATTCTCTTTAAATAGCATTCCTCCCTATGTTGTGGTACTGTTGGTTTTTACGCCAGATGCAAATCATACCAAAGACCACTAATTCAAGTGGACCCAGGTGTTACGTGCTCCCTTTTCTGTTGTCTTCTCTGTCTCTCTGCTGCGCAGGTACACCTGGTCCGCCCCTGGCTCCGCCTCCCCCAGGTGTCCTAATTCCATTCAGCTGGGGACTTAAAAGGAGAAGCTGGAGGATAAGATGTCTCTCCCCCAATCCTGACGCCGGAAGACACTGTTCGGGAACAAGCTAGCGGGTGTTTCGGATCTGTAGCTTATGTGTGTTATAATGATAAACTTGTGTGTTCTGGAGGTTCTGTTAGCATAGTTTTTTCGTGGCTTTGTTTCACCCGTAGTGATTTGTTAGACTTTTGGGTAGGGGAGGGACGTCTGGGTCCTACGGCCTGTGGTGTGGCTGGCCCAAGGCCCCCTTCTGCTTTTGTTTATTTCTACTAGTCCTCCACCTCGTTCTTTTGCCGGTTGGCCTATGTGTTTTACGGCTGTAGCCCACAAATAAATGGTCGCCGTTAAGTGCTGAATGTTTGGTGTGTTTTCTTTTAGGTTGCGGGTCTCCCCACGAGCCACTACCACTGAGTAGAGGGCGGGTCGTAACACAGGCAAGGTTCCTTAAACCATTTGGTTTAAGGAACTTTAAAGAAAAGTGTACTTGGATTTAGGCCGAATCCGTGATGTGAAAACCTCCTTAGCTTCTGGGGGCGATGGACAATATTTCAGTGGTTCCGGTGTATCCAGCTAATGTTCAGCCAAGAGATAACGGCTATCTCTATAGGAAATGCACCGTCATTGTTTACGTTCCTAAGCAACTTGAGATGAGTAGTTAAGTTAGAGTTAATCAACACCAGGTATATTTGCAAAGACTCTTGGGTTGGATGTCATTATCCAGATAAATTACCCAGACAAAGATGACATGAGTGCAAATTGGAGCTTAAAGGACTCGTCCACATTTATCAAATCTACTTTAAAGAGTAATCTAATATCACTGGCCTCTAGTTCATTACATTACATTACATTACATGTCACTTGTTAGACGCTTTTATCCAAAGCGACTTACATACATTCAATACTGTGGGTAATCCCCACAGGAGCATTTTGGGGTGAAGTGTCTTGTCTGAGGACACAGCGGAATGTTGACTGCAGTGGGATTCGAACCAGTGCCCCCGTGATCCAAATATCAGCGCACTAACCACTTAGCCACAACCATCAAAGATGCAAGTATGTTTCAAATCACACTCCTGACCTGGGTTTAGGAAAAACGTGTGCTTTTTAAAATCTTTTACTAAATGTACAATTTCCCTCCGGAATAAGGACCTTTTCTATGTTATCCGCTTTATAACTTTGATTTCGGACACATTTCAGTGTTTCTTAGGACATAACAAAGCCAAAATACCAATTACAGAGGAAATTCAATCTTTACATTTCTGCGAGTCTTGTATAAATATAAACCAGAAAACATTTAAACTTCTGTTTATTCAAGACACTGGAGTGTTTAGTTCCAGTTTGCCTCTCGCCGTAAACTCTTCCTGAACTAAACCTGTGTGATCACATTTGTTTGTGCATGCCACTGCTTGGGATAGGGACAGTGTAAATACCACTGTGGTTTAGAAACAGTGATTGTGGCCTCGCGGTACCATTTTAGAAAACACATATTTTGGGGACTCTTTAATATTTGATGCGTTCTTTTGGAAAACACAACATAATGTTTGCAGTAATTGTAAAAGCAAACAAAATCTTTATAGCTCGTACATTTAAATGTTAATCCTGTAGTATAAGACACATCGATACAAACTGTATATTTATGCTCCATCGTGAAAATGTCCTGCCTACCCATCCATGGCTTCCCTCACATCTCTTCCTCTTGAGGAATGAGGGGAGGGACAGGCTGAACCAAAAATAACCAGCGGATCAGCTGAAATCCAACATAACAGCTGTAACCACCAGCGTTTTAGCATGTTTTTGTTCCAGTTATCTGTCGCTAATCATCTGCTATGGGTCTAGCCATGATAACGTACATAATTCAGTGGAGATACTATAGAAAAAAGAATTGGGGGCTCTGTGAAGGCTTCCCGCTGAGCCACTTTGAGATGAGAGTGGCTTCATGTGAGAGGATAAACCTTGAAAAGGAAAGGAGCTGGCAGGAAGGCTGGTGACACAAGCTTGAGTCACATTTTATGGATGCTACATAATAAAAATAGATTGGCTTGGTTTGCAGGTTTTGAGGGCTCTTTTCCACTATGCATGCAGATGAGCCTGGGTTAAAAATGGCTTCTTCTGGCTGGCAGCTTATTTGCCCGTTTTTACGAGATTTTTTACTTCCCGATCGGCTCACCCCAAATCAATTTAAATCATACACAATGATTCTCGTTCTTTTTTAACCTTTCCTCGTTACCACTTCCTCTCTCCCTCCTATTGATGTCCAAATAGTCAATGAGGATGGAGGAATGTCTACAGCACAGAAACCACATGCACACATTTACCCAGCAACAAGGACAGGCAGCACATACAGAAGGAAGCAGCCAATAAGGCAGTACAATACTTGTTCATTAAAGACAGTCAGAAAAAATCAGGAAGCAGTGAAGAAACTAATATGTCATTAAATAATGATTCATCCAGATGTTTTCAAGAGTGGTGGTATGAGGTAATTGTTCATAGTCAGTGCATTACCTAAAGTAGATTGTGGTTGACATTATATTAATACTGCTTTAACTTGCCATCAGACAGTGCTTTCAGGGATATGAAGCCATTATCTTTGCTCTAGTTAAAGTGAAAATCCCTCAGTTGGTTAGTATGTTATACACACAATAACACAAACTAACCAAACAAGGCAGTGGTGGACCAGAAACTTCCATATTCTGCAGTTTGGTGTTTAGTTTTCAATATATATATTTCCTCCCACACACCTGTACCCCCTGCCTGAAACGCCTCCAGTGGACTCCTCTCTTCTGGAAGATAGTGACATCACTGTGTAACAGCGCTTTATTGGCTAGCACTCCATCACATTGTACGTGATATGTTAATGTTGTTGACCAATCACAACAGATCCGGCCAGCTAACCAATCAGAGCAGACTGGGCTCTGGTTTCAGACAGAGGGTGAAAAGAGGTGCTGCAGCACAGGCAGTATGAGACAAATAAAGAGCTTTCTGAACATTAAAGCATGGAGACATGTCACAGTAGAGGCACTAAATAAAAATATGAACCTGAACATGAGCAGAATAGGGCCATTTTAAATATAGCATACATTTTTAATGAAAGTGATTTTTTACATGGTTAAAATGTGCTCCTGTCTGTTTCTTCCAAACTGGGGGTGTGCCGACTGCCTCCTATTGTAGGTAATACACTGACTGTGTATCACTACCTCATACGACCCCACTCAACAACAAGCCAAACAATTCCTTTAATGTTTTAATCATGTGGTCAGTCAGTCAATTAGTCAGTAATCCTCCTAACCAGTGCTTAGTCAATACCTGGTGGTGGTAACTGCCCTCCCTTCGATATGAGGTCTACAAGGAGAAAGTCGTAGGAACAAGGTAAGGAAGAGGTTAATATAATAACAGAACAGAATAGTGGAGAATGGGAAATGACCAGATAGGATAGGATAGGATAGAAAGCATATTAATTGTGTGGAAATGGTGTTAAAATTAAGAATTTAGGATAAAAATAAATAAATAAATAAAAATCAATTATGCATACAGTGATTTGAGTAATATCTGGATTATAATTAATCCAGGGTATACCTTTAACCTAACTGTGGCATTAAACAATCTTACTACTCCACTTGTTGCTACCTTGCATAAAACAGCACTGCATTATGGGTACATTTCGATGTATTCCTTTACAAGAATAATTGCTTGTTTTATCAGGATATCACTGAGGAGCATGAGGAACTTTGTAAAAATGTTTGTCAAACTGTTTTACTGACGGTCAAAGCTATTTAAGTCTTCTTTGATTCGGAAGAAGAATGATTCTGTATGCTGTTTTATTCATTACATTGGGGAGAGCGTGGTCGATAATTATTCAGTGCAGGTGTAGTGCAATGACAGGAATCCTCAGTGGAAGTATAATCATTACATCAAATGGGAAGCCTACTTCCAGATTTTCCGAGATATGTTCAGAGCCTCTTCAGATGAAATGAGGCCGGCCAGCTTATTGCCTGTTTACCACTTCACTGGCTGCAAGCAGCTGTTGTTCTGGCGTCATTCACAGCACGGTGTGCAGGAGAACAATCTGACCTGAACACAGCAGCTGGTGGCAATCCATTTGACACATGCTCATTTCAATTGATTAATTTGTCTTTAGCGTCTAATAAGTTGATGCAGTGTGAACGCTATTATTGTGAAAGGGCCAACATTACCCCCAAGGTTCACTCCCAGTACACTGAGCCCGGCCCATTGTTTTTCAGCTGATTAGACTTCAAAGCATGCATGATTAGCAATGACCAAGGGCGATTGGGCAGAGAGAAAAACAAGACTGCACATATGGGATTACATTTTTCTAAACTGAAGACACAACTGCGTGATGTGTCGCTCATTCAAAACCTGACTATGATAACTTTGATAACATTTCTATGTAGAATTAGCATTTGGGACATGTTAAAGGGAACATCCTCTGAATGAATTCCAATAAGTTATGCCCATGGGTATAGTCTGAAAGTTGCTTCATGTGATAATAGCAGACCTGATTTTCTTCAGCCACAGATATTTGTTTTCTTTTTTACACCCATATGAACTTTCTTATTATATTTTTCAAAACAATTTTCTTCAATTTTTCTATGAACTATTACTAATATTAATATATGGCGCTAGGACTTATTTCACCATTAGTAGCCAAACCCTTTAAAACTGTGATATTCAGCATTCATATCTTTTTAATACTAATACATCAGTGTATATGTTAAATATTGTAGTACAACATTTGTGCACATTTTGATTTGATTTTAAATTATCTTCCGTTTGACATTTTACTTATATTTTTATAAATACGTTTTTATTTTAATCATTTATTGTACATTATTACTTGAGCTTCTTATGTTAATAAATAGTGTTAGTCTTTTAAATTACTTTTTTATAATGTATCAATTTTATTCTAAATTAGAGCAACAGTCACATTTCCCCGGGGATATTTAAATTATTTGGACTCTGATTCTTCAGTCCCATTTAAAAAGAACATCAATTAGAAAATGGGCGTAGTTCCCCTTCAAGGTGAAGCAGTGCTGTTAGAACACAATGGGGTGAGAATTTACTCAATAAGAGTGATGCAACAGCTGATTATCATTAATAATTGGTAAATTAAAGAAGAACATGAAGAAGAGTAGAAAGAGAAAAAGGATATAGACATGAAACAAAATGAGAAGAAATGGATAAAGATGGAGTACGTTAGAGTAAGTCTTACCTTGGAGCGGGTTTTGAAGTTCCTGAAGGGGCCACTTTTAAACATGACCCGGTTCCTCTTACACATAATGAAGGACACCATGACGATAACCACCATCAACAGGAAGAGAGGCGTCAGAACGGCCATGATCCACAGGTTGCTGGGCGGTGTCTTCACCACAGCTGCAAACAAACAAATATCATTTATCAGTATTTAAGTACAGTATGCATTCAATCACTTCTGAGCAGCTAAGCTACTTAATGAACTGCCAGTAAGCACAAAGCACACCCCTCGAAGGGACAAGGCAAGCAGAAATAAACACCTTTCATTTCTACCTTCCATCTTTTACATTTGTACCGCCTAAAAGGGAGACTGCAGAAAAAAAGAACTCCGATCATATCTATATTTTTAACACTCAATATTCTTAAAAAAAGATGCAAGGACTGAACATCACTCAAGAATAACATACAGTGTGGCAGAAAAGGACTGTGACATTTTTTGTTGATATTCACATCCAAATTTGTATATCATAAGGGCGGAAGTCCTTCTAGAAAATATATCTAATCTAAGAAAAACGAAATGTGTTTTTAAGCAAGACAATTAACACAGTATTGAATGTATTGTCCATTAGCTACCATTCATCTAGAGCTCGATATGAGACATGTTATAATACAATTTTAAATCCTCGATTGACACATTTATTCCATCCTACTTTTGTTTGTTGGTAGGTAGATTTAGTTACCCTTGGAAGGAGCCATGCTAATTGTTTCCCTTGATTACTTATGCTAAATTAAGCTAACCATTTTCTGTCTGTAGCTTCAAATTTAGCCCAACATTTTCTCATCTCACTAAGCAAAAAAGCAAAAACTGGTAAGAGTATTTCCCAGAAATGTCAATATGTTCATTTAAATTGTACCAAAAATGCATAATAAATCTCAAAACTGTAATGAAAGTAAACACATCGAGAACTTTGTTTCAAAGTTAAAAAGACTTGTTGTAACATAAAGATGATCACATCAATGTCCTCCTTATAACTAAGGTTTCTAAGCAGTTTGCCTAAGAGATGTTTTCATCTAAAAGAGGAATGCAGTTTGTTTCCACTGAGCCTGTGAAGGCAAGCGAAATACATTTGATAAGAACACAGTGTTCAGCTGCAGGCTGAGCGCGGTGAGGAGGAGCTGTGAGAGGCACTGATGGTTGTTTCTCCAGTTTCTTAATTATAGATTCTGATGAAAGGTGAGAGGGAACACTCCGTCCTTATCAGCAGCTACAGTCTGAACATCTACCCAAACAATAAACACTACTAGAACCCTCTGAAGTTATCCTAAAGATGAAAAAAGGGAATGCTTTTGGTAATGTCTTTACAATGGCAGCAGAATACGAAGTGTGCTCTGTGAGTAAACTGTGCATCCATAATATGTTTGAAACCATTTGCATAAAAGCTAAATGCAAAGAAATGTGTCTGTAAAAATGCAAAAGCCAAAGGGATATAGTCCTATTTTATGCTAATTGTTTCTATAGCTGGAATAAATCAGAAAGTAAATAGACAGATGGGAATTGAGCAGTGTGTGTACATTAATGTTGCATTTCAATCTCAGTTAGCTATGTTTAAAACAGATATAGGACATGGATATATTGTCAGTGGAGTTTTTTCTCTTTCCTCCCATGACTGAGATTGATTCCATCTCACTTTAAGGCTCAGAAATTAGGTTATGTCTTATTTGTTTAATCTGTATAAAAAACAGATCATTGGTTGTTTACAGGGGGTTGTGTTGAATATTTGTTCAGCTGAGAAATAGTGTTGCCTATATTTTTCTGAGAAACATATGTCCAGCTGGTTCTTAACTAACACAGGCAAGCTCACACACAGACTGGAAGCCTTAAACAGTCAAAGTAGATACTGTTAATAATTGTATTTATAGCGGGATATTTGCCTGATTCAAACATATTGGGTATATTGTTGTTATATAAGTTCATTGTTAGTCTTGTGGAGGACCAAACTTTAGAGGTGGTTGTGGTATGTTTAAGCAATAGCTCACGACAGGCCGTGGTATATGCTCATTATATCACAGCTAAGGGGCGTGGTTCGGCCCGACGCGAAGCGGAGGGTCGACAACCCCCTTAGCTGTGATATAATGAGCATATATCACGGCCTGAAGTGAGCTATTGCTTTTATAAAACGGTTACCAAGTGTGGCAATATGAAAGAAAAATACACACTCTAATTTAAATAGTTTTTATTAGTAAATAATGATGTTCAAAATAAAATAGTCCCTCCGTTGCCTTCCTCACAAAACATAGTGCAAGGTGGTTGCTACGCAACAACACTAACAGCAAGCGAACATATAGACAGAGAGCGTTGATCCATTCTTTGGCTGTTTATTTACATTAATGTGTATGTTCGCTGTTTATTGTGCATCCAACTGAAAAACTGTCCCCAGCATCAGTAGCATGGCTTACGTGGTCCTTGTATAGCGTTCCGAGGTTGTTCGAAGCTGTTGCTTGGCGTGGCGGAGGTGAAAATTAATTGGCCCACTTCTCTGTCCCGAGATTCGGGCTTCCAGTAGTCTGGAGAGAGTTTCGCACCTGTGGCCACTATCGGCATCAAATTTACCTCT